AGATCTTATTTTATAGAGGACACTTCAGACTATCTATCTATGGGAATAGAAGGATAGATTACTGTGTTTCTCGAAATCCGAGCTATTTTTCCAAAGATCTTGTAGAAAACAGATCTTTCAAAGGTTTTTGAAAGCCGATTTTGTTTGTGAAAGTATCTCTATGTTTTATTGCTTTTGAGTTATTCAGAAAAGAATCGAGTGCATTATATTTTGGGATGGATAATAGTAATGATTACAAGTGGACTTATTTTATGAGTTTATCTATGAAATAGCTTCATCTGTATCTTTCGCCGTTCAAAATTTTCTTGAGCTTCAGGAATCAAAGCATGGTGGAGAAAGTTTGATCATTATTTGCTCTCACATACCGTTTCATATCATATCAGAACCCTTCAATAGCATCGAACTCGCAGTAGAATTTGAGGCAGAATATTACTTTCACCTGATATCTTTTGGCTAATAATTTCAATTTCGAGACGTCCTGAAAGGCAAGATGAGTTGAAAGAATATTTCGAATTTCTGTAAGCTTCATCGAAGATCGAATTGATACTTTGGGATCTTTTGATAACTCGAGAGGTCCTTTTGATTTTTCCTTATGCTGGCCTTTCGAAAACTAGCAAGGAACTGAGATAAACTGACCATTATTATCGGTATATTCTATTGAATCAACAGGACATTTTGTTCCGATATCTTTGCTAAATTCATTGATAGTATATTCCTTTACAGAATGTGTTCTGGTATTATCTACAATAATCTGAACTTCATGATTTTTGAAATCTTTTTTAAAAGGAATAAGCATAAATAGACGTTCGAATTGTATAAAATTGTTTCGTTATTAAAATAACCTTCTTGACCAACATTAATTCCGGCACTGGCTGAATTTTTGAGATGATTCAAATCATCGGACTAGAAAGAGAGGGAAACTTTTGGACAGCACGTAAAAGCTCGGCATCAGAGAGAGAAAAGGACGGTCCACTCGGATGCTGAACTAAAAAGTCTGAAACCATATGTGATCGTCCACGCCAACGTTATAATGAACGTTTTGTGATGTTTTTAACGACGTTAATGTAAGATACTCTCTACACAATTTTGAATTGGAAATGGTATGGAATTCGTATGAGCTCTTTTAGCAAATATGACGAGTTGGTTAACAAGTTTTGGATACTGTAGAGATAAATCATATTTTTCTCCAATGTCATTGTCTAGATCAAACAACTGATAAGGTTTATTTACACTAAAACGAACTTGCTTCCATTGTTTATAACGAACAGCATTGCCCCATTCATGATTCGTACAAAACTCAAAATAAATATAATTGTGTACATGCTGCACAAAGCTATTGTTTAATAATGTTGGAACAATTGAAATACCATCGATATCCCTCGGTAACAGTTGTACACCACCTGATTCAGCTACAGTAGGAAGAAAATCGGCGAATGTTGTAATGAAATTTGTTTGTGTGTTCGGGCTGATCATATTTGGCCATCGAATGATTTGAGGTGTACGAATTCCTCCCTCATACAACGATCGTTTGTAACCTCTGAGTGGTCCTGAACTATTAAAAAATGTATACGAGTGACCACCTTCGTTATGAGCGCCATTATCTGACGCAAACCATACCAATGTGTTGTGATCAATTTCTAGTTCGAGCAGTAATGTCATTAATCGTCCAAAATCTCTGTCTAAATAGGAACTGATCATGGCTGCATGATCTTGTTCAACATCCGGCCAGTTGGTATGGGTGAACTGTCCATCACTGGGCACAGGTTCGCCTGAACGAATCCTCTCCATCCACCCGCGTGAGGCAATGTCCAAGCTAAATATAAGAAAAATGGCTGCCCTGGATGATCTCTAGTTCGATTTTTAATTAATTCAAATGCTTGATTAGTGAATAAATCGTGACTGTAATTACATGTTGATGGTCGACTCATACATTTTATTCGTGAAGCATCTTGATTTAACGGCAACGGTATTTGAATCTCATTCTCCATTACAAAATTCGGATAATAATTATGAGCTTGTGCCTGATTGCTTATACCGTAAAAATAATCGAAACCATGCTTTCTCATCCAACCAGTTGTACCAAGGTCGCCTAAACCCCATTTTCCAACAATGGCTGTATAATACCCTACAGATTTTAGAACATCGGCAGCAGTTATATCATTCGGTTGCAATGGCCAATCACCACCATTGAAACCTTTATTGCTTCTCACTGTTGCATGTCCAGAATGCTTTCCAGTCATTAAGGTACATCTCGATGGGGCACATACCGGAGCACCCGCGTAACTGTTAGTAAATTTCAAACCTTCTGCGGCAAATCTGACCAAGTTTGGTGTTGAAATGGGAGGTTGATTGTGCCCTTGTGGCACTCGACAAGGATAAGGTTCCACTTCACAATAACCCAAATCATCAGCTAATACCATAATGATATTTGGTCGTTGTTGAATTTTGGTTATGCTTGCAACGTGAATCATTATGATAAAAATGCCGTATAATGATACTTCATGCATAGTTCTGTTCTTTTACTTTTAACGTATTAATGTACAATTGTCGTTTTACTACACAGGTAAATACTGTTCTGACAATTATCTCGTTTTTTTCGATAAGTATATATGTGATAACCATACACATTCCCCACGTTAGATAACTATGAGAAAAAGTGAAAATAACTACATTTTATCTCAATCAATCCTTCAATTGTTACGATTATCAAGAAGGACGAAACGCCTACAGCGCATGCATCCACTTGCACAATTTCTTCTAGAGACAAAAGATATACTCAAAAAAATTAAATTTCTCTCAGTTTCCGTCATAAGGATGTAACATTCCAGTAGATTCGAAATTCTTTCTCGTTCACCACTTCGAGTGGGAGATATCCCAGTTTGTAGAGCTCGACGAGCTGATTCTAGTGGCATAAAGCATTTTTCCCAATGTTTCTTGAAGACCCAGTTTTCTAGAAAACCAGTTTTTCAGAAACTTTAAAAAATAACCAAAACA